GGAGAGAGAGAGAGGAGCGTGAGTGGCGGTGGTGGGTTGGAAAAGGGGGGCAGGAGACAAGGAGGAGGATTGGCGGGGTGGGGCGCGGAAAAAAAGGGGGAAGAAGTACGTTTGGTTTGGCAGAGGGTGGTGGTGTGGGCGTCGAACTCGGGACATCGCGCGCGGATGACGAGTAATCGATCACGAGCACTGTGCCAACACTCCGAACACCCCCAGTGATTCTCATTTCACGCTTTATCGATGGGAAACCGTCGAGATTCGATGGAATGTTGGACGATGTGAAAAGAATTGGGATATAAGAATTTCGAGGAATTAGTAGTTGGAGGAAGGAAATGAGAAAGATTTTTCCTTGTTTCTCTTTTCTTTTGCACACAAGTTCGATACAAGTGTCAACGCGTACGATTATTTTTGGGTCTCGGTGCATTTTTAATCGGTTGATGTTAGAATTGGAATTAGGGTCGAAGTAAATTTTATTTTCGTAAATAAATGTGAATCTCCAGGGTAGGGAAAGGATAATAAATATGTGCTAGGAGGTTCGAAATCGCGTGTCACGAAATGCACAAATATAAAAAACGAAATTCTCGATTGACACGTGCGCTCTGGACGCGTCTATTGATTTCTGATCGAGGCAATCGTGGATGGCAACGAGCGTATCGGCCCTTCGTGCGCCTTTTTCGTACAAAGTTTCGAGAGGATGGGATGGAAATTATCCATTAGGGGATGGTCGAGATAGGCCGCGTTCGAGTATCGATGAGTAGGGAACGACGAGAGAAGAGGAGACGATTCCCTGGTTGTGCTCGATGCGTTGATGCAAGAATGATCGTTCGTTTAAATCAAATTATTCAAACACGAAGGAAAAGAGGAAACAATCGCTCTTATCGGTTTATTTTTCGAATGCAGTCGAACCACCTGAAAACGTCGACCAATTTTTCTTACGAATTTTTCTTTTGATCCGTTCCCTCGTCGTTTCATTTTAAATATTAAAGAAAAATTTTTTAAACCGAATTAATGAAGGATTTATTTATATCGAATTAATCGTTGAAATTGAAGTTGGTGAATCGAACGTGAAATTCGATTAATTTACCTGTGATGTTTCTCTGGAGATCAAAATGGTGAAAAATTAATTTATAGAGTATATTATATATCGGGAATATTCGAAGGGAGTGGATGAAGATAGATCGAAAAGATAGAATCATAACATGGAAAATTAAACGAAAGATCAACGTAGAACGTAAGATAAACGTATCTCGCCGAAGACGATCCTCCTCTCCTTCCTCTGTTTGTTCTACCTAGTCATGACTCGACTCTAACTCGAACCCTCCAACTTTTCTACTTTTATATCGTATCAACCGAAGACTAACCGAAGAATATTTGTAATGAAAATTAAACTTAAGAAAGTCAAAATTGAATTTCTGTCTCGTTAACGAAATAACGAATAAATACGTTGTGCAGATATTTAAATTAGATTTCTCGATTTTGATACAATTACGTAACAATAATAATAATAAGAAGAAGAAGAAGAAGAATTAGAATTTCGATAAACTCGAGTTAACGCGAGGGGAATAGGATACGGATTCGGTGGAATGAATACCGAATAACTTGTCCGCATTAACAACTTTGTAACGAGATGAATGAAGTATTAATTAATTTCTCGCAGTTAATTAGCGAA